CTCTGCCTTTCAATAAATAAAGAAATATATGTGTGTACCAGTAAAAGGTTATATATAAATAAATATATGTATTTAAAAGTGTCAGGTAAATAATTTCCTGTGGCATCCTGTCTACTATCTGTTTTTTTTTTTTAATTTTATTTATTTATGTGAGAGTTAGAGTTACAGACAGAGGGAGAGAAAGGTCTTCCAGCTGCTGGTTCACTTCCACAAATCGCCGCAGTGGCCAGAGCTGAGCTGATCCAAAGCCAGGAGCCAGGAGATTCCTCCAGGTCTTCCATGTGGGTGCAGGGGTTCAGGCACTTGAGCCATCTTCCACTGCTTCCCCAGGCCATTAGCAGAGAGTCGGCTTGGAAGAGGAGCAGCCAGGACGTGAACCGGTGCCCATATGGGATGTTGGTGCCACAGATGGAGGCTTAGCCTACTGTGCCACAGCGCCAGCCCTACCCTCTCTTGTTTTAATTTGTTGACTTCCTCTGACACACTCTTATTCCCGTGTGCACCCGTTTCCCTAGCAGAGCCCGCTAATCTATTTTCTATCTCTGTGGATTTGTCCATTCTGGACACTCCCTGTGTGGGCAGAATCATACAACTGGCAACCTTTCTGGGTCTGGCTTCTGTCACTGTATCAGTGGTTTTTTGTTTGTTTGGTTTTTTTGTTTGTTTGTTTGTTTTTGACAGGAAGAGTGGACAGTGAGAGACAGAGAGAAAGGTCTTGCTTTGCCGTTGGTTCACCCTCCAATGGCCGCCGCAGCCGGCGCACTGCGGCCGGTGCACCACGCTGATCCAAAGGCAGGAGCCAGGTGCTTCTCCTGGTCTCCCATGGGGTGCAGGGCCCAAGCACTTGGGCCATCCTCCACTGCACTCCCGGGCCACAGCAGAGAGCTGGCCTGGAAGAGGAGCAACCGGAACAGAATCCAGCGCCGCCACCGGGACTAGAACCTGGTGTGCTGGCGCTGCAGGCGGAGGATTAGCCTAGTGAGCCGCGGCACCGGCCTGTGCCAGTGTTTTCAAAGTTCACTCACACTGTAGCGTGCTTCAGTCCTTTTTATGGCCAAACATCCCTCAGGTGGACAGACCACATTTTATTTACCCATCACCTCTCAGTGGGCACTTGGGCTGTTTTGCTCCATGAGTTTCTTGGAGTGGGGGAGGGGGGCAGTATCTCAAGCTCTGTCTGCTCCACAGCTAGATCACAGTAGGATTCAGCAACGTTGGCCAGCCCAGCCCTGCTCCCCAGTCCCTGGGGCCGACCCCGTGGCCTCCGGCCTTTTCCTGGAAGTCCCTCTGAACCATCCAGAGTGCCCCTGCCTGACAGAGGAG